GGGGGGGGGGGGTGGGGGGAAGGGGATGGAAGGGCGGCGCGCTGGGCCATGGGGCGGGCAGGGCGGTCAGTCGGGTGGTGGAGGAGCCGCTTGTGGCGTCTGAGTGTGCATATGTAATCAAGCGGGAGAAAGGCATCCGTATGCATGCAGGTGGAGCGAGGCAGGCTCCTCGGGCACATGCTGGCTGGGATCTCACCTGCGTCACATACACCACCCGCAGGCCCTCATCATAGCCCGCCGCCGAGCCGTCGCCGTCGCCGTCGCCCTCTGGCCCCGCGCCGTCCGACGCCCGCGCCGCCGCGCCGCGCCGCGCCTCGGACGCGGCCGACGATAGCAGATCGCAGCTTTTGCGCAGGTCGGGCGCGGCGCCCTGCCGCGGGGGCGCGACGTTTGCCCCGCCCGGGGCCTCTGCCTTCCCTGGCTCATCGCCGTCGGCGCCCCCATCCTCACCCTCATCCCCAATCTCATCCTCATCCTCCTCATCCTCCTCGCCCTCTGCCGCCGCCTCCTGGCTGACGCTGCCCTCCCCACCAGCCCCCTGGCCACCGGCATCGACGGCGACCAGCCACCGCAGCGCCCCCAGCCGCAGCCGCAGCGGCGCGCAGCCCCGGAGCAGCTCGGCCTGCGCCGCGGCGGCGGCCGCCTCGGCCCGGGCCAGCGCGTCCGCGTTGTCGCCTGTGCCGCGGCACACTGACCTGATCTTGCGAGTCCGCTGCCAGGCGGTGCGCAGCGCCTTGGCGGTGCCAGAGGACAGCACGAGCACATGCGCCGCCCCCCACTCCGCGCACGCGTCGTCGCCGCCGCAGCCGCGCCACTGCGCCCAGGCGTCGGACTTGGTGCGCGCGCTGGCGCCCCCGTCCCATGCCCACTGCTCGCACGCCGCTGCCGCTGCCGCTGCCGCTGCTGTTGCCGGTGATGCCTCCTGGGCGGTCTTGCGTACATCCGCATCCCCAGACACTTGCTGCTGCTGCTGCTGCTGCTGCTGCTGCTGCTGCTGCTGCTGCTGTAGCTCCTCCTGCTGCTGCTCCTTCTCCTCCTGCTGCTGGTCCTGCTCCTCCTGCTGCTCCTGCTGCCCCTGCTGCTCCTCCTCTCGACATGAGCCCGACCATGCAGCTGTCACTCCCTGCTGCCCATCCCCACCATTATGTGCCTCCATCTGCTCGCCGCGCGGCTCAGCGGCCGCAGTCCCATGGGGCTCCGTCGCCGATGTCCCCAGTGTGCCGTCCGCCTGCCTCGCCAGGTGGCGCAGCCTGCCCACAGCGTTCGAGAAGAGATTGAGCGTCCGCACCGCGAGGACGCGCGCCTGCTGCGCGTGGTCCTGCGGCAGCGCCGCCGCGAGCAGGCCGGCGGGCGCGAGCCGCGCGCGCAGCTCTTCCGCATATCGCTGGACGGCCTCCTCCCCGCCACGCACCACCACCAGCACCCGCGGCGACGCCGGGGCCGCCGCCGCGGCTGCTGCTTCTCCGCCGCCCTCGTCGATCGGCGCCGAGGGCGCCAGCGGGGGCGGCAGTGGGGCCGGCGAGCGCAGCACGTCCGCAGCCGCGAACGCAGCCGTGGCGCCGAGCGGCTCTTCGACTCCCGATTCGCAATACACAAACATGCCGGCCCCGTATTCATCCCCCAGGGCCGGCAGCAGCGCCCCCTCAACTGCCGTCAGCCGTGCCGCACGCGCTCCGCCGCCGCCGCCGCGTCTGCGGCTCCGCCGGCGCGAGGGCGGCCACAGCAGCAGCTTGCGCGTGGTCTCCAGCGGCGCGCGCATGCAGAGCGCCGCCTCGTCATCCAGGTGAGTCAGGGCGGCCGGGTCCTGGTGGATCTGGGAGAGGATCTGTGCCACCTCAGCAGGCGTCCGGGCGACGTCCGCCCGTCGCACGGTCTTGTCGACAAGCCGATCACGCTCCTCTCGCTCCTGCCGGCGCTCCTCGCGCTCCTGCCGCCGCTGCGCTTTCGAGGCGGCGCGCCGCCCCTTCGGCTGCCGCTGCTGCTTGGCCGTGGGGTTGGCCTTGGTAGCCTTAAGCGCCGTGGTTTCGTCCTGGATCGCCGGCGCTGTCGGCAGCGATGGGGCGCTCAGATTGGGTTCGGCAGCTTCGCCACTGCCATCAGCAACCGCAAGTAGTGCCACACGAGGCACGGGCCGCCGTGTTGAGCCAGCCCATCGACGTGTGACCGGCGTCTTGGCTGCCACCGATTATTTGAACCTAAGCATTTCACCACATTGCCGTCGTCGCAAACACGCCAGATCGTAAGCACCCGGAACGAGTGACTAGCTGCAACGCTGCTGTTCCGCAGACATTCCTTACTACATAGGTGATCGTCTATTTGTGCGATCCGTGCGATACAACGGTGCGTGTAGTGACATGAGTGCATGCAAATGAGTCGCGGCAGACCGCCCAGTGGCGTCGTCCACGCAGGGTGTGGCATGCTTTGCGGAGGAGGCGCATCAAGAACAGGGGTGATCCAGGAAGCATGGCTAAACCAGCGACGTGATTGCATGACAATTGCAACACAAGCTCTGCTACTCTGCCTCAACACAACCAGCAGCAGTGCTGCCTGTTGTCCCGCTGGCTGGCTGGCCTGGCATGGTGCCGCCCACGCTTGGGCACGAGTGGCAGGGCTTTACTCAAACACGTGCGCCGCAGTGACCTGAGGGTGCCAAAGGCTCAGTTTCTGCCGCTTTTTCCTCCCCTTTGCCATGACACTCATGCATTGCAAGCTGAGGGACAGCCATCTCACCGCCCTCCTCCAGTAGAGGGTGGCGGCACAGGAAAAAGTTAGTCAGGCACACGCCCTTGCCAGCGCTGCCGGGCCAGGGGACGGTCAGGCGTGTGGACGCTGATTATATTTGTGACGCTGGTATATTTGTGTTGCAACCCCGGGATTCAACCTCTGTCTTTCAAACACCTGCGAGACATCCACCTCAAACACGCCAAGCACTAGGACCGAACTGCCATCACCGCGCGTGTGTCCAGCAATTTGCTGGGAAGGGTGCATGTAGAGGCCTAGACTCTAGGTTGAGCTGCTTGTAGCTGCATCTAATTTGCGACCTGAACATCGGTGACAAAGTGCAGAGGCATGTCTATATTCAACTCAAGAGTCTACCAGAAGTTTTTCAATTGGGCTGTGTGTCGACACACCTAGCCCGATTCAGGACAAATGGCTGACGTCAGCCTCGAGTGACTGTCGGCCATCCTGCTGTGCAGGCTTGTTGTGCAAACCTGGTCTGTGGCCCGGCAGGGTGGAGGCCCACCAACGTGGATCCCACGTGGCCTCCTGCTCGCAGCAGGAAGCCTCCTGCATCGTGCAGTTCTGAGACCGTGGCTGCAGTGAAAGCAACACTGAAACCAAATCCACCCTTCCAATCCGCGAGGCATACACGACCCAAATTTGTGTGACAGTGATGGCTGGTAACGCGTGCATATGTTTGGGTGCGTGCGGTCTGGGTAGTGCTGAAGGCAAGCAGAGGCGGCGCCAACTCACAGTGGCGAGCATTGGCCCAAACTCGCGGCAGCAGGCCGCGTCGTGTCAGCGCCGCCCCTTTCAGCAGCGGGCCCCCCTTCCAGCAGCGGGGCCTAAAATTCCACAGCAGACATCTTCAGTGTCAACGTGGGCGGCCGCTGCGGCGTGTCTGTTCCAACTGGCCCCGCGGCGCGTCACGCGCCGCGGCCCTCCTTGATCCACTGCTGCATGAACAGCATGGCCCTCAAATTGTGGTAGGACGCCTTCCATACGTTCCCCTTTTGGTAGTAGTAGGGGCCGATCACGCCGCCCCCGGCGTCCGTCTGCCACACCCACTCGCCGTCGACGGGGTCGTAGATGTGGGCGCGCACAAACTGCGCGTGGGGGCGGACGGCGCGGCAGCGCTTGCGTGGTCGGATGTGGGGCGGCTTGGCTAGCTCTTGGACAGGGTGGGTCTGCTGCGAATGCAAGACTTGCCAAGGAGCAGGGGGCCTGTTTTACAGGGGATCCAGCGGGCTGCCAAGGTCCTCCAGGCAACAGGAATGCACATACAATAGGCAGAATCTGCATTCTTTCAGGCCGCGAAGGGATAACACCCCCTCAACCCCCCAGCCGGATGAACAGCAGCTCGAACCTTGTTGGCGGCCGCCATCTCCAAGCAAGCGGTGCGTGCGCCCGGCGGCCCACCTACCTCGAATGTGCCGCTCAGCTGATTCAGCAGAGAAGTGTCCCTTGTTTTCAAGTAAGCCTGCAATAAGGCAAGGATCGACTCAGCCTGGATCCACCACACCTGCGTGTATGTTGTTTGTAAGCAGGGTACATACCATAAGTGCCTCTGCTAGTGATGCAGAGCGGGCAACTTGTGTGGTGGATGTGATCTGTGTGTGTGTGTGTGATGTGTGTGTCTGTTTGGGGGTGTACGTGCGTGCGTGCGTGCGTGCATGCGTGCACTTACTTGCAATTCAAGCGCAGTGTGCCTGCAAGAGGGAATGCAAGAAAGGTGCCTGGCTGTGCAGCAGGGGATGTGGGCGGCCTTCGAGTGCGCAAGCTGGGTGCGGGCTTAACAGTGGGCTAGGGGCTATTTATTGCTGTTGTTGACCAAGCCAAAAATGGAGCATCGCAACCACAATGTTCAGGAGTGCTGCCGAGGCAGCAGGGGTGATTTTATCACCAAGTTGGTGTTGCGAGGCATGCCCCACCTTCTTGGTCGAAGCGCCTGCGGCCGTGGCAAGATGCAGGTGGAAGCAAGGGATGTTCGTTGGACATGCAAACGGCCCCGTCAATCGTTCCACAAGCCCTGCAGGCTCTTGTGGGGCCCCTGGGACACGCGCAGCTGTGCTGCGCCCACATTCATACTGGTCAAGGGGTAGAAAGCCGCGTGCGCGCCCCAAAATCTGGTCACGGAAACAGGCAGCGCTGATGCGGCGTCGGTTGCAGCGGCACCGATCGCCGCGCATACCTTCGCCTGTGCCGGGCGCGTGCCCTGGCGCGCCCGACTCAAACACGCCGCCATGCTCCCTGTCATAACCATCCTTCAGCGACGCCGCCGTGAGGGCCGCCAGCTTTGCCGACGCTGCGCCGGCGGCTGGCGCGCCGAGCTTGCCCTTTCTTGTCATTACGCGGACTGCCTCGCCCACCAGCCACGCACTGCGAGCGGCAGGCGGACGCAGATGATTAACGTCATCATCATCAGATGTGCCTGCCTGTCGTGCGTGTCGCCGAACACAGTACAATATCGAATTTCTCATGGCTGTGGTCAAGCGGTCAACGCCCTCTGCAGGTTGCTTTGTCAAGAACGTGACAGCACTGCTGCACGCATGACGTATCAGCCCAGCCGGAAGGTCCAAAAGGCAGAAGCGTGGATCCAGGGCCCCTGATTCTCCACTGCAGCCCGTTTTCACCCAGTCACCTCTCGAGATTGTGGCCAAAGTTGACTGAGGGGGGCCCAACAGGCGTCCAGGAGTCTGGGTCATAAAACCCTATATTAATGTGTTGTGTCAGAGCAGAGAGGGGGGAGGGCTGGGGAGGGAGGGGCGGGGACTTGCATGAATGTGTGGAGGCTGGTGCAGATGGTGGAATCGCATACGTGGCTGCAATCAGTTGAGTCACAAGGGGACACACTGGCCAAATGCAACAGATGGCAGCGAGTGCGCGGCCCTGTCAACTCCCAGAGTGGCTGTTTGCGGCCGACGCATTTTCTATGCATTGTGCCTGCTAGTGCATCGCCGCGCTCTCGGCTGGGCACAGGTACAACGAGGGCTGCAGAGAGTACGACACACCGATGCGGCAGTTGTGTTCTGCCGCTGCACGTATTCGCACCTCTCTTTCACCTTGCGTAAACGCACACATGTTCTCACTCACCATAGACGAGGTTCTGCTTTGTGATGAAGGTCGACGTGAACAGGCTGACGAGCTCTTGCAGGCGCGCCAGCACAGCCTCGTCGCCAGTGGCTTCATACAGCACCGTCAGCGACTCTGAGTTTGCAGCATTGGTCGGGGCACACCTTTTCTGTTTGTTTGCGTGTCGTGTGAGCTTGCTTGCTTGGGGATTGCAAGAAGCTCGGGGAGGCGGCAACGCCGGCAACAGGCCACGCCAGCGGTGAGCGCGCCACAGCAGTCAAAGCTACCTAGCGCAGCCCTGGGTGACTGCACACATGCCAAGTTTGAGTGATGCTGGGCAGGAGGCTGGCGCACGCACCCTCGCCAGCGGCGAGCGGATGAGTCAGGGAAGCCCGCTCCTTGGCCCCATTCACTGCGTACTTGTCCTGCTCACCCACCTGGACCAAGAGGCCGCAACTGCTCCTGGAGGTCTCATCACGGCCCGCTCACCTATGCCATGCAGGATAGCGTTGAATGATTGCGGCATCTGCCCATTCGGCAGCCGCACCGTATCCAAGGGCGGGAGGCTGTTGGTCTCGTTGTAACCGCCGTGGGTGCTGTCGTGGAACGCTGAGTCAGCGGCACGGAAAGTGGCCAGGGCGGTTTGGAGCACCGCGGCATCTTTGAACGCCTGGCAGGTTGCGAGGGAGTTGCAGAAAAGATTTCAGGGTCGGCTGGAGTGGATTCGGTCAACGAATTCCCTGGCGATGGTCTGCGTGGCGCAGGAGGGCGCTAGGGGGGAACGCATGCCTTTGGAGGCCTCCGGGCCTCTCTGCTGCTGTGTCCGCTTGCCGTCACCCCTTGCAGCGTCAACCCTCTCCCCCCCTAACCACACACACACACATACACACACACACACACACACACACACACACGCAGCTTGCTACAAATACTGTAGCCCGTACACGCCATCTTCATGAACAAGAAAAGATTCACCATCTGGGAATGCACCCCTTTGAGATAAAACTCCCAACGCCTCAGCGCCGGTGCTGGCCTGCTGGCAAGGTCAGCTGACCTTGCTGGACTGCACTGCCGCATAGATCACGAAGAACTGGCCGTACAGATTGGGTCCCGCGTCCACCACCTTGGACCCGTCGCGCGTCACAAGCCACACCCTGGCGGCGGCAGAGGGAGACAATGAGCGCTGAGCGCACGTCCGCGGCAGGGCTGCGTGCATGTGCTGCTCACATGTGTGCGGCGCACCGCCCTGGTGTGCAAAGCAACTGAAAAGAAGCGGGGGTCCAGCCGCCTGACAGTGCGGCGGTCGGGGCTGGGGCGCGGTGCCAGCCTGCGTCGCCTCCGTGGATGGCGTGGTTTACAATACCCACCCTCAAGCACGGCTGCGCACCACATGCCGTCGTGCCGGCGCATTGCCTTGTTCATGAAACCCCACAGCGAGCGGGCCGCAGCCTCGCTCGGCCCTCTTGGCCTGCTCGCCCTGCACCGCGCCAGAGGCAACCGCGAGGGAGAGCGCCCAGCAGTGGCGCGCCTGCTGCACGATGCCCTTGTCATAAGGGGCCACCACTTCGCCGCTGCGGTTGAGCGTCTGCGGCAAGGCGGGTGCCCGTGGTGCAGCGGGGCGGGTGCGTACAGGATGGATTGCTCCCATCGGGCAGAGCGGTTGGATGACTAAGCGTCCGATGTTGGACAGATTTATCAGAGTGTGAGACAGGCTGATGAGCTGGTGCGTGCAGGCTTCAGCGCTTGGAACGTCCCGGAATTTATGTATGATTAAGCCACCCAGCAAATCGTGCATCGTGCACATAGCAGGCGCCTGCTTGCTGGCCACGGATGCCGCTGCCGGCCATCGGATCCTGGGTCATGGCCCGAGGACCGCCCACCGCTTGGAAGCCGCCATATGTATTATCTGGGCCATGATCCAGCCAGAATTTTATCGCTTCCTGTGCCAGACCGTTTGCTTGGACGGCAATGGCGTCGAGTGAGACGGCCGCTTGCAGGCGCCGGGTGATGGAACGGGGACCAGTCGGGGACGTTGTGGCGCCGCCCTTGGCCGTTTGCACGCTTGAAGAGCAAATTTTTACATCCTCTGCTGCCCCAAAGTTCAAGATCAGCAGAATGGCAATGCTCAGTGGCGCCACCGAAAGCCGAGGCCCGTGGTGCCCCTTGTTCGCAGATGTGGCCATGGCTCTTTCAGAATGGTGCAGATGCGAAGATCTCGATATGAATTCTTCTTGCCAATTCGAGATCCCGTGTATGATTGCTCTGGTGCCCGGTCCGCGTGGTGACGTTGGGTGTCAGCTCGGTCATGCTGACTGGGCAATCGGAGGGCTAGCGTGCTGCGGCAGAACCCCTCAGGCCCTTGTACCTCTTCTATTATGTGGGTCAACGAATGACGCAGACATGCCTTGAAAAGGCCCCGCTCACACTTGAGGGCGTATGGGTTCTCGGACTGAGTTCAAATCCCGCTGCAAAAAGCCGCCGCCTCGCCGGGCACCCAATGGCGACTGCCCAACGCCACGTCAGCGCATGGGCCAGCGTGCCCTTGCTCAGTGCTTCCCTACCCCGTCCAGCTCCGCTTGGCGGTCCGCGACTGCGATATCACGGCGCCCCGGCATGCCAGCCGGCTCCCAAACCAACCTGCCCGCCCCCCTCCCGCGTGCGTCCTGCCAGTGCGCAAGCGTTTGACGTCGCGCCGCGAACCCCACGCCTCAAGTTGCCGCATCTACAGGTCGCCGCTGACAATCAATGATAATAAACAGGCGCTCTTGCATAGTCACCAATAGATCAATATTTCAAGGGCAGCCTGCAACATCCACCACATCCAAGCAGCCAGCACAATCTACCCTGGCGAAAGAACAATGTTCTTGCAGACTGCCAAAAAATGACATCTCACCTCTATAAAAAACATGACATGCCGTCCTATCGGGAATGAAACGTCATTTATTGATCATGAAGTCACATTTTATGGACAAAGCCGGCTTCTTGGATTGGTTCACTAGTGTGTGTGCACCCTGACAACGAAGGTCGAAAGCAATGCCGTCAGCCCCCGCACAGGCCGCCGCCGCCGACCGCCCCACCCCGCGCGGCGCCCACCGCCTCCCGCACGACCTGCTGCCCGATCGCGAGCGTCGTCAGCACGCACAGCGTGCACACGAGGACCATGACGAACACAACCTTGTTGTTTTTGATCACCCAGCGGCCGACGAACACGTGGCCCGCGATCGTGCACAGCGTCGAGACGCCCATCAGCGCCCCCGCCAGCCCCCAGTGCAGCTCCCCCAGGACAGTGAACACGACCATGCCGGACACTCCAATAGGAAGGATCACCATCTGGGCGGACGCGGCCATCGTCATCGGATCGACGTCGAAGAGCAAAAACAGCCGCGCGACCAGCGGGCCCGACCCTGACCCGCTGAAACCCTGGATGCTGCCAATCAGCAGCGCCGCCGCGGGCAAGGCGGCGAGCATGCGGGGGCGCCACCGGACCTGCCGCGCGGCGTCGGCGGCGGGGCCGGAGAGCGGGGCGCCCGCCGCGGCGCCGGCGTCGAGGGCGCGCTGGGAGCGCCAGACCAGGAAGCCGAGGCCGAGCGCGATCGCCAGCAGGGCGGGCACGCCGCTGAGGAATGCCAGCCACCTGCGTGACGCGTCATTAGAGGTTGGTGGGGCGGGGATGCATTGAGTGAGGCGTCAGGGCAACCTGTCAACGGCAAAGAAGGGCCGGTAGATGCTCGAGCCCCCTGCCGCAGGTGCTGCGGGCGTGCTGCTGCCGCCGCCTGCATACGGTTCAATTGTTTCAGTGAGTTCAAGTGCTTCAGGCGGCAATGACTTCAACTGTCTGACATAATTTGTCAAAGCTGGCGCGGGCCCAAAACCAAAAAAAGCAGGAAGCTCACCACTGCCATGTCCCGCAGGGCCCCGCCGCCTTGGTCACCCCCGGCAGCGCCATCGCCGCCAGCAGCGCCGCCAGCAGCGCCGCGTGCAGCGGGTGCCGCCCAGTCAGCACGCCGACGCTGAGGCCCACCGCCTTGTCGGGCGCCGCGACACCGCTGTCGGCCACCAACAAAACGGCGTCGTCCTCCGATTCCCCGCCACCGCTGCCTTTGCTGCTGCTGCTGCTGCCCGCCACACCTTTCCCGCCGACCGCCGCAGTCGCCGCCTCTGCGCTCGCCGCTGCTGCCGCCGCCGCCGCCGCGCGCCGCGCGCGCCGCCGCTCCTCCACCATGCTCAGCGTTTTGGAGAGGAGGCTGGCGCTCGCCACCAGCAGCACGGCCAGCGCGAGGGCGTGCACAACCAGCGGCGGCGCGAGCTTGTTCGCGAGGCCGCCCAGGGTGATGCCGGCCGCGAGGGGCGCGGCCGTCAGGATAGCGAGATTCCAGTCCAGCAGGTACTTGGAGGGGCATGTTGGGT